GCTCAGTTGGTTAAGAGCTCGCTAAAGAGTGGGAGCTCTGAGCAACAGTGGTTCGATTCCCAGCCCGAGGTGAGCTGCTGCTGAGCTGCCAATAGGCGGCAGGATGGCTCAGCTAAAAAACAAAAAAACAAAAAAACAAAAATTGACTTCAGGCAGTGCTGGCTTTAGGACAACAGAAAGTTGTCCTTGCCTGAGAGGTTGCAGATCTCTCACTGCAAACTTCCAGATATAAAGAGTGGCCCAGGTAAAAGCAAATGGAAATGTCATGTCACTGACACCAGAATTATGTTGTTCTGAATTAATTTCAACAGTTAAAAATGAAATACTGATTCATTTCTCTCAATAACATTTTTATATGCTCCTTGCACCTCCAAAACCCCAAAACTCCTGAGATGGTTTATTTCCCCAGTGATTGCCTAAGGAATTTGAGGAATCTTTTTCTCTCTTATGGGAGAATTTGTTCATGCTCAGAATAGAGAAGAGGTTAGGAAGAAGGCCAGAAAAAGCAGAAACCATGTAAGCTGTTTCCTCTAACTTGATTGAAGAACCACAGTTGGTGCAATAAAATGGCCCAGTGCATCTCTCCTTTCTGGAAAGATTCACTGTTTGATGCCATCAGGTCTTTTTTTCCTAGCATGTGAAGTTCCCCTTCATCTACATGGCCTGCCTCAAGGGTATCTCCACAGAGCAGAAATCCTCTGAGAAGCCTAAAGATATGTAGGGTAAGAAGAGCCATAGGAATAAAGACTTAAGAACAAAACAGAAATAAAAAGGAATAGGAGCTGGTTCCCTATCTGGACCTGAATGTTCAGAATATTTAAAATGTTTGCTTAAGACTAGTCTGAGGTGGGCAACATAGATGATAGCCACATGACTTGTTTAAGAAGCAAATGAAAACTATAAAAGCCACATGACTTGTTTATGAAGTAAATAAAAAAAACAGTTCTGAAGAACAAATACAAAAATAGAAAGATGAATTGTATAGTTTTTAAAGAACAATGCTTACACCTAGACAACATCTTTTGTCTTTCAAACTTAGGGAGCATAGACTTACTTTCTTACGAGCGCATTGATATTTATGGTACTTACAGGTATTCCAGGTACTAAAAGAGAATTGATTTAGGAATTTTGTTTGTCTTGTAAGTGTTCTAAGTACATGCATGTATGCACACACTATATATTATAACTTTAGACTCTAGGTTTGTTTGGTGAGAAAAGTTTTAACCCTACTCCTTAAGTGAAGCTTAAAAAGGAAGACTCAAGAGAATGCCTATATGGCACCAATACAAATGCAAATGGAGAATTTTAACCAAATATTAGCATTTTATTCCGTAACACAAACATCTTGCGTTACTTTGTAGTACTTGCACAATGGCCTTAATGTCCAGCTTTCTCCAGTATATTTTACATACTTTTGTACACCTTCCCAGAGGAGCAGAAGATGAAGGTCACTAAGCAATTGGGTAAGAAAGGGACTCCCTTCTTGGTTCCCTACAGCCATTAGGTAGTATGAAAAAATATGAAAAGGCAACAAGCTTTTTATAAACAATGAAAGCTTTTTTGAGGGGAAGGGGAAAAAATGGACTACAGATTTAAACCTAGCAACGATTATGGTTCCGAACCTTGTTTAAAATGACCTCAGGCCTCCTAGTGGTTTGTGAGTGCCTGAGGGTTCTGGAAGGCGTGAGGGTACGGAATAGAGGGTTGGTTCAATTTTCAAAACCCAGCACATTTCCATTTCTATTTCTTATCAGTTAAAAACAATTACATATATGTTAATGCACTCACGCACATACATATATGTGTATATAGTTGTATTTCTTTTTTCACTTCAAAATGAAATGGTTTGTGGCTTTTCAAGTACATACAGAGAGAGCATGAGGGGCGGTGGGTGGAGACTGTTTGATGATATTCACCAACTCAGTTTCTGAGTTGGCTGATCATGTAGTTGACCATTGCTGACAACCAGGATGATTTTTAACCATTTGATAGTTTTCCATCACTTTTATTCTTCTCCACTTATTGTTTAATTTACGCTTTTTATATCTGTTGCTTTAAAGACAAGAAGCAAAAAGACCATGCATCTTTAAAGACAAGCTAATGAGAAGATTTAAAATGTCAACAGCTGGGCCGGCCCAGTGGCATGTTGGTTAAGAGTTGGCTTGGGAAGTCCAGCTCTAAGCAGCAGAACCCCGGTTTGGGTCCTACATGAGTTTGGGTCCTACATGACACTGCGCCCTCTACAGCTAAGATGGTGAACAACAGCTCGACCTGGAGCTGGGCTGCTGTAAGTCAATGGCAACGGTGTAGGCTGCAGTGGGGCTGGCTGGCAGTGGGCGTGAGCTGCCGTGAGATGCCATGAGCCTCCATGAACGGCTGTCCAATGGCCGGCGAAAGACTGCCTCACCCAGGAAGAGTGCAATGATAATACCAACAAGGACCAGTGAAACGAGTCCTCCACAACTAGACTGAAGGACAAAAGGACAGCAACTTGTCTGTTCCCTTCCCTCAATTCCCCAATAAAATCTTTTAAAAAATTTAATAAAATAAAATAAAATGACAATTCTAAAAATTTACCTCAAGATACTATTCACCAGATTCTTAAGTTACATTTGTGTGATCAAAAGTCTTGTATCACATATCAAGATGTCTCTTGTACATGAAAAATCAGCAAAAAGTAAACATGGTAGCCATTATATCCAAATTGGCTTTTTAAAATTGGGGATAAAAACAACCTGCTGTTTGAGTGGGGGGGAAATCTGCTTGCAAAACTCAGCCTGATACTATATCTATATCTATCTATCTATCTATCTATATATATATATATATATGAATAAATCAGTTGGTTATTTTAAATGCAAACCAACTATTACCTCATGAAAGCAGTTTTTTTGTCTCTTTTGACACTATAAGGTGCAAATAAATTTCAAGTTTTTAAGAATATATATAGTCTGTCCCCAAACAAGACACAAGATAAAAATAATTCTTAAACTTGTTTATCAAGAAATCTGCTTTCTTGGGTCGGCTAAGTGGCTCAGTTGATTAAGAGTTGTCTTAAGAGCGTGAGCTCTGAGCAACAGGGCCACTGGTTCGATTCCCACATGGGCCAGTGACACTGTGCCCAGGCTGAGCTGTTGCTGAGCTGCCAACAGGTGGCAAGATGGCTCAGCTGTATAACAACAAGATTGCCTGTTCGATGGTGGGCTACGCCCACCCATAACTAAGACTGAACTCGGCACCTTGAGCTGAGCTGCCTCCTGGATGGCTCAGTGGATAGAGTGTGCACTCTTAACAACAAGGCTGCTGGTTCAACTCCTGCATGAGATAGTGGCTACGCCATCCGCAACTATGATTGAACACAGCACCCTGAGCTTAGAGACCACAAGCTGCCGACAGGAAGCGAGATGGCAACTGGTGCCCTCCACAACGAAGATTGAAGAACAGAAACTTGGCTGGTCCCCTTCCCCAATTCCCCAACACTGATCCCCTCCCCCTGTTCCCCAATAAAATCTTTTTAAAAAAGAAATCTGCTTTCTTGTACACAATCAATTTAAAGTAAATTAAATAACATGTATCTCCAGTCAGATGGGAAAAGTAAAATTTATCATATGTAATAAATACATATGAATAATAATTAAAGACCATATTTAAATGAATATTTAATAATATGATGATCTATAATTAAATGTTTTACTTAAATATCCTTCTTTATCATGCCACACAAAAAATGTCAAGATGATTAAGAGCGTTTGCAAAATTACATCTTATCGTGAAAGAGATTTAGAGTCAAAGTATAGGACCATGGGGATAATCTCTGTGATCTGTCACCAGAACCATTTTTATCACTCAAAAGACTTATAAAAATAAAAATGTGCATTATTAGCAAAATAAATATTACTCCTTGCTATGCCTCAGGAATTACCCTCCAGTTTGACTACATAGGAAAAAAAAAACTTGTATTTTACCCTACTTAATCCATTTTAACATGCACATTCTTGGTGCACCTTAAATCAGCATGCATCTGACAGTCAATAGCATCTTACAATAGCCATCAGCCAGGCTGCAGTTGTGACTATAGTTACCATTGCACATATGTGAACATCAAACGCGCCAGCATCAAAACTTGCAGAATGGCCGTCAGTGACTTGGAAGAAAGTCTTGCAGACAGGAGAGCTTTTCTTTTTTTTTCTTTCTTTCTTTCTTTTTTTTAACCCCTAGGAACCAATTGGTGGTGGAAAGAGAATGAATCAAACATGTTTGGCAACATTCTTTAAGCAGGAGTCAAAAGTAGGCTAACGCTATGTAATTGCAAGGTCAGCTTAGGAGATCAGCACCAATGACTCGTAGTTCTTTAATGGATTATTTTAAGACATGCTGTGTCATCAAACTCCTGATATAGAGGACGATACCATGGATAAACACAGACATCAAAGAGTCTGAGTCAAATGCTGAATGTGAAAAAGTTTTAGGAGTACTTAAACCAATTTCTTTCACTTAATGGTCCGTTTTTTGCATGTACAAGTATGACATATGATAAAATGATCTAATTAAATGTATAACAGCCCTTTCAATAAGTATAAAAGAAATGATATGATCATGTCATAGTTTAACTTGCAGGTATTTTGTTTCTTAATAGCACATAACATAATGGTGCCTCTTACAATGATACCATCTTAGATTCAGTGAAAGAGAGTGTTCATTTTGGAGATGCAGTACTTTCCCTTCTTCTCATAAAATGGATAGTTAATGAACTTGAATGAGTTAAAATGTTTGCTAACTACACTGTGCTTCTAAATGCTGGTTGCATTCCATTTTAACAGAGCTGAAGGCTCTTCTTATTTTTTAGTTGAGAAGGGACTTTTGTTGCCCAAGACTTTAAGAGCATGTGGCTCTATTTAGCTGACCTCAAAATATTTCTTGGGAGAAGAAATGCTATTAATTCAGTTTTGCATGTATGGTTTTCTTGAAAGTGTTGGATTGACTCTTGTTTCCTTTGCTAGGGGTGCAGGCTGCATCTTTATTGAAATGTTCCAGGGTCAACCTTTGTTTCCTGGGGTTTCCAACATCCTTGAACAGCTGGAGAAGATCTGGGAGGTAAGAGAAGAATTCCTGTTAGGAAGAAGAAATACCTGCATTTCAAACTTTGAGCCAAATTTGCCTTAGAGACGGATGACGCAGTCCATCTGCTTTGAGATATTAAGACATATATTAAGGTTGTGGAAACTGTGGTATTTGCCACAGGTATAATAAGCACCTTGGAAATGAGTGGTCAGAAAACCTCCGGTTGTCCTGTAGCAGCCCATGAATCTACCTGCTCTCTATGATTATTGTCTCAATCTCCCAGGGCAATTTCTGCTATTACTGCTTAAACATTTTTCTGCCTTGCCACCCCCAGCTCTAATTCTACCATATATTTGGCCCTGGATCTTTATCAACTGAAGACAAGACACTAAATTTTCATAGAACCCCAATAAAAACAAAGGCTTACATGTTAGTGTGAGAGAAGTATGGTATTTATCATGCTTCTCCAAAACCAGATTCCTAAGGTGTCAACGTGCTTTTGTGTGTGTGGTTCCATCTCTTTATTCATTATTTAACCCTCCTCATTTGTACCATGATGTACTTCATTTTTATGTCCCTTGTAGCTTCTGTGGCATGGTAGTCATCTATATAGTTCTCTCTCTCTCTCTCTCTCTCTCTCTCTCTCTCTCTCTCTCTCTCTCTCTCTCTCTCTCTCACAGTGATTTTTTAAATTGTAGTAAAATATATGTAAAATTTACCATTCTAACCATTTTAAGTGTACAGTTTGTAAGCATTAAATACATTCACATTGTTGTGCAACCATCACCACCATTCACTTCCAAAACTATTTCATCATCCCAAGCAGAAGTTCTGTACCCATTAAACAATAACTCTCCATCTTCCCTCCTCCCAGCCCCTGGTAACCTCTCATCTACTTTCTGTCTCTATGAATTTGTTTATTCTAGGTATCTCATATTAGTGGAATCATATGGCATTTGTCCTCTATGTCTGGCTTAACATTTTCAGTTAGCATGACATTTTCAAGCTTCATCCATGTTGTAGCATGTTTTAAAGTGCTTTAAACTGAGTGTTTGTTTTTTTTAATCACTTTTTTTATCCTGGATCCTGCTTCCTTTTAAGTCTGCTTGCTTTAAGCAAGCATCTGGAGCACTCTTGCTAACTGCTTCTTGGGGCAGGTATCTTGGGAAATATAGCCAGAGTGGGGTTTTTGTGTGCAGGTGAGAAAACTTCTCTCAAGCTCCATTACAATTTTGATTTAGTAGCCCTGAACTTTTGCCTGTCCAGAAATGAAATAAGATTTTCATTTTCAAATGGCATTTCCACTTTGGAGTCCTTCATTTATTAAAAAATTAAGTTGAGTTTATCTTTAATACACACATAAAGGTGGTGAGGAAAACTCCTTAGGGAATATTGGGGGAAATGGAAAAGAATTAATTGCCAGTGTATGGAGGGTCATTGGCTCACAACTATGAAGAAATTCTATGCAAATCAGTCTAGTGCTATAGATTCATGACCCAGAAGACATTGTCTTCTTATGGCTAAAATAAAATGTGCTTTGAGAAATTAAAACATTTTATAGAGATTAATGACTGCCATTAAAATTTTCTTTTGGAAACATGGGGGTTATAATGGGAGGACATAGGAAAAATTGGGAAGCATTCACAAACTAAGAAAACATTTTTCAAACCAAAAGATGTTTTTCTCCAAACTCCCCTGCAAAACAAATAAATACTATCTTCAAACAGCATCATTGGGTGCCATAACATCATCTAAGCTGGAGGCAACCTAATGTAATAATGACTTTGGAGTTGTAAGACCTGGTTTGAATTCTAGCCACTTTCTAGCTAAAAGAATGTGGGCAAGGGGCCGGCTGAGTGGCTCAGTTGGTTAAGAGCTCGCTCAAGAGTTTGAGCTCTGAGCAACAGCAGTTCGAGTCCAGCCCGAGCTGAGCAGCCGCTGAGCTGCCAACAGGTAGCAGGATGGCTCAGCTGAAAAAAAAAAAAAGAAGAAGAATGTGGGCAAGTTATATAATCCCTCTCAGCTTCAGTTTCCACATTTGTTAAATGGGGCTAGTGATAATGACTTTTCCATAAGTGAGAATTCTATAAGATCAAATGTATAACAAGCACCATGCACCAAAAATGCTCAGTAAATGTTTGCTACCTTCCTCCTCATATAAATTATTATTGTAGAGATATTTCAATAACCTCAGGCTAAAAAGCATTTCCTGACACATAACCTAATTGTTCTTCTGCTTAGTATTACTTCTTGTCCACAAATAGAGGAAGCACAGTTAGCACTATCTAAACTTGACCCTGCAATGACCTTAACACATTTGAAGAGTATTTCCAAGTCATTTCATCAGGAAGCAGCACTTTTTGGATACTCACCATATAAAATACTCTACAAGATCTTGTAAGAAGTTGCAAGGCATGGAAAAAAAGGAAAGAATAAGAAAAATGAATAGTCTGTGCTCAAGTGTTCAGTCTAGGTGGGGTGAAGGATGAAGTATATGTAAATACATGTGAAACAAACATAAATTGTGCATGTATGTGAAAGGATGTGTGTGTAGACAGTTGATGTAAATTGTAATATTGAAATAAAATGAGTTATTAGGATATTTGAAAAGTTATGAAAACTGATTTTTTATATTACATACTATCTTGAAATAATCGCAGTCATTTTGCAGCTCTTGTATTTAGCACAATATTTAGAAATCATAAAACAGGAAGAATGAGCTAGACATTTCCCAGTACCCGATGGCTTTCTAGCTATTGGTTCAAGTTTCCAAGACTGGCCCTGATGACTCACACTGGCCATCTTTAGATGTTTTAGTTAATTCAGTAAATGAAAGAATTTGGACTTGAATCTGGACATAGAATGCCAAAACATGAGTGATGTAGCAAAAACAAACATGTCTTAACAAATCAGTTTTACAGGTCCTATTCAGGAAGCCATGTTCATTTCCACCATTATCCTTATCACACTGCAGTCAATCAAAGGGACTTTATTTTGACATTTATGACAACTCATTACAAATTTAAAACAAGTAAATATATTAGAAAGAACACTGGCCTGCATTCAGGAGGCATGAGCACTAAACCCAGCTCTCACTTCAAGTTATGAGCTAGAGTAAGTTGTATAACTGGCCTCTCCGGGTTTCCAGTGTCTTAAATGTTACAGATGCTCCTCGACTTATGACAGAAGTTGAAAATATTGTAAGTTGAACCATACTAAGTTGGGGACCACCTGTATTTGATTTTCTGACTTAATGAAGTTGTGACTTCTTTCAACAAAGTGTAAAGGGAATATTGTAGCTCCCATTATTTTAAATCATAACAGTCATCTCTGTTTAGTAGGTTTTCTCCCCAGATAGTTATTTCTCAAGTATGTCAACTTACATAGCTCATTGTTGACTTTCAATCTATACTGATCAAGGAGATGGTTCCATATTGCTTAGCCATCCTTTGGGGCATCAGGAAGTCAGGTTCATTAGACCTCATTTTCCCTCTTGGTCCTGTTGAAGGAGGTAGAGACCATAGTTTTGTTATCACATCTGTAGTTCCACACTCTGAGGACAAAGTGAAAAATCACCATATTCAGCACTGTGTTGTCTTTAGTACCACTACATCTCAAGCAGGTTAGAAATTTAAACATTTACAAATAGCTCTTGAATTTGTTTCACTAAATGTGGTCTTCACAAATGAAAATAAGAAATTTATTTTCAGTTCTATGATATTGGATGTAGGAATGGCTTCTTTGAAAGCAGTGTGTCCATTCTAAATCTTCCAATCTCTAACCACAACCTTCCTCTATATTTATCCTGAGAGCTCACTCTTAGGAATAAAGACATAATGAGAAGTCCTGAATCTGTCTTTTACCATCTTTATGAAATACGTGTGTGTGTGTGTGTGTGTGTGTGTGTGTGTGTGTGTTCACATCTGAATAGCTGTCACTGCTTTTTGATCAATTTTTTAGAAATCTAATTCTTTCAATAAGTGTTTTTAGCAAATAATCCCAATGCAGTTCTAAAATCAAAATAAAATAAACTACGCAGACTTTAAATACATTAATCAAAATGCCTTCAGTTTCCATTCCAACAAAGGCAGAAAACAGCCCCTGCAGCCCACTGTGGTTTCAAATATAGCACTCACTAGCTGCCTTTTAAGAGCCTTCAGGGAGGGAATAAATCAACAATTTTTGGTTTTCAATTTCCCAGACAGTGAACTGAAGATTTACTAATTTTCTCAAGTGAAAAGGAATTCAATAAATTTCAAATAGAAATGAGCATCAAATTTCCAAATAAAGGATGCTGAATTTTTGTTTAAACTTTTAAAATCGCAAGCTTAAAGCTTTTAGCATAATATTTAAAAATTATTGGTATCCATTTTGTTGGCTTTGATTAAACAATACAAAGTAACCAATAATTCTGGTAATGTTCACCTTAGAAAAAATATGGATATGGTCATTATTTATTTCCTTTATTGCTTTCTCTTCATTATTTTTGCTTTTTTTTCATTGTGTTTTGCCAGTCAATGGAACATGTATGGGTACATATGGATCACACCCACTTGTTTACATGCATATCTGTGCAAATACATAAGATGGTAGGTTAAAAAGGAAGAATTAGCTACCCATCCTCTGGACCTTTTCTACAAAGAAAGAATTAGTCCAGTTGGTTTTCTAAAATGGATTCAAGGATTCTTAGTGTTCCCTTAGGCTCAGAGCGGTTGATAGGAAAAGCTCATAATCCTCTCAGTAGCTTTTCAGTTTGTTTAGGGAATTGATCAAAGAAAGAAGATTTTACTGGGTGGCATGATTTTATATATATATATATATATACATATTTCATATATATATTTCATATATATATTTATGAATAGTACTACAGTGTCTTTTGTTTGAGGACAAGCTTAACAAGCACCACAAAGTTTACCTCTGAGCTAGAGTCCTATCAGCAAACTGGTAGATATTAAGATTCTAGATTCCTCATTGATTATTATCAGTCAATTGTTGGGCAATTAACTTCCTACCATAACAATTAGGCTGGCATCTATATACCGCTTTTTACAAATGAATTCACTAGACTCTACAAGAGATGCTTCTAAAGAGAGATATATTGAGATAATACTTCTAAGAAGAGTTATATTGTAGTCGCGTAATAAAAGCTACTAATATTTCACAAAAACAATGTTATTGTAGCTTCCAGATTAACTGACATTAGGCTTTTATGATTATCTTAAAAGATTGGTAAGATGATACCTATAAGGGAACTCACAGAAACAGCACCACCCCAAATCTGAAATATTTTGACTTTGGACTCCAAAAGACTTTTGTTTTCATATTAATTCAAAACTAGAGTTTCAGTTTGGTAATCCAAAGTATAAGTAAACTCTTCATGTGTTGTTGTTACGATTATGATCAAGTAATGTTGTTACTATAATCCACCAGTTAAAAACCAAATACCATATTCCAAGCTGCTGGGCCACAGAAAAAAACAAGCAGATGAGATAAATTTGGTAGAAAGGAATAGAGTTAGGTTTAGGACCATTTTTAGCCAACATTCCACTGCCTAAAGGTCAGTCATCTGAACCCTTTTTAATTTGAGCTCATCGTGGAACAGCTGAATGTCCATGTTGAGGCATAATTTAATAAGCTGTCAAGTACCTTCTGGGGTGTGTGTGTGTGTGTGTGTGTGTGTGTGTGTGTGTGTGTGTGTGTTTGCTCACCTGATGTAGGCAAATGACAGTAACTCCTGCTTCTTTATATCCCAACTCCTAACATAGTATCCAAATGTGTATGGTGGTCATGCAATTGACATTTAGTGATAAGAATATGGTCTTAAGCAAGGCTGTGTGATCTGCCTCAGAAAAACAAGTGAGTTAGTGAAGATATAGGCTCAGGACCTATATTAAGATTCTCTAAAAAAAATAGAACCAATAGGATATATAGAGATATATGGGGAAGATTTATTATGGGTATTGGTTCATGCTATTATGGAGGCTGAGATATGCCATGTGCAAGCTGGAGAACCAGAAAAGCCAGTGGTATAATTCAGTCTGAGACCAAAGGCCTGAGAACTGAAGAGGCTGCTGGTGGTGAGTCCCAGAGTCTGAAAGCCTGAGAACCAAGATCTCTGATGTCTGAGGGCAGGCAAAGATGGATATCCCAGTTCAAGAAGAGAAAGAAAATTTGTCCTTTCTCCACCTTTTTGTTCTATTTGGGGCCTCAGGGGATTAGATGATGCCTGACTTCATTGGTGAGACTGGATCTCTTTACTCAGTCTATTGATTCAAATACTAATCTCTTCTGGAAACGCCCTCACAGACACACCCAGAAACAATGTTGTACCAGCTATCTGGGCATCCCTGAGCCCAATCAAGTTGACACATAAAATAAACCATCACAGGACCATAGGAATATACTACAGTTTTGCCCATGAAACTACAAACATGGAACCACTGAAGTTTCTTTCCTGTATACATTAGCAGGTATAATGTGACCTATATCTATTTCTTCCCTGTTCCTCTCTGATCTGTCCTTCATGTCTTCATACCTGGTTCATCCACCTTGTCTTCCCCTCATTTTTCTGTCTTTCTTTGGCTTTATATAGGTGTTGGGAGTCCCTACAGAGGATACCTGGCCTGGAGTTTCCAAATTACCTAACTACAACCCAGGTAATATTGATTTGACCTTCTGAATGCTCTGAGAATTAGCAGTGTGTGGGATTTGGCTACACAGTGTGTCCTTCTTTTTTTTGTTGACTCAATAGTGAAGATAGGTCTAGAGTCTAGACACATTTTTAGATTCATGTATTCCTTGACTACCGTATTTGCCGGCGTATAAGACGACTGGGCGTATAAGACAACCCCCTAACATTTCCACTCAAAATACAGAGTTTGTTATATGGTCGGCTGTGTGCGATTTTGCGAGTGTGGTAAAATCGCATAACAGCAAAATCGCATAACAGCCGAGCATACACCCAGCAGTGCTGCTGA